AGTCTCCTGGAGGGAGAACGTGATAGTTGTATATAGATCTATATTAGGTTTGACACCCCACACCTTGCTGCTAGCTACAGTGGGACCTGTAGGTCTACGGGTGACAAATGTCATTTCAGTTTCGTGACGCCTGAGAAACGTCGTGGCAGTTCATTCAGTTATAGTATGATTATAGCGACTCACATAGGGAGATAACAATACATAAAGTTTACGGGATTTTCATAAAACCTAAATAGGTTTTATGTCGATTTTAAATCACTTTTTATATCAATTTAAACTCATAGCGTTTCCACTAAGTAAGAGAGGTTACTTATACATTTTGGTCTTCGGTTATAAGATTACATTACACAGATTTTAAGGAAAATATCGGATTTTTCTGAAACAAACGTGACATTTACAAGAGAAAGACTTCTATTAAGTTTTAAAGCAAAAACTTATGAACTCACCAACCTTTGTGTTGACACTTTTTCAAACAACTTGTATTCCCAGGTAATCACTAAATAGGTACCAAAGTGCATTTGAGGATGAGATGTTAAGGCGTCAACATATCATGTTTTTGTTAACATATTGTAATTGATTTGGAAACATGTAACTCATACACTGATGTAACTTTTTCAATTATATATATGTTGGTTGTATTTGCTTAAATTACTATTGTAATTGTGGTTATGATACTATACATGAAGTCCTCCACCCCCGGACGTTTCCGCCATCCTTGGTTTGGGGGTGTGACAGTTATGTCTTTAAAATTGTTCATAGTTGGAATTTTTTCTATTTAAGATACAGATACTCTATTTACATTTTTTTGTTTTGTGAAATTTACTATGTTTGTTGTGTGCATTTAATTGTGTATGTGAAACTAGATGAAGATGATGGTTTTCTCATTCTTATTTCTAAGATGAAATTAGATTATGATGATGGTTTTGCCCAAAAAAATATGGTCTCCATCCTCATAAATTCATCTATGAACCTACTCATTCAGAGGTCACTTAATCTATTATTTATCTTTTTTTTTCATATATATAAGATTTCTATTTTCTTAAAGGAAATGAAATTAATGTACTTACTTAACTCTGCTATCGAATTGGCTCCAATATTGTTAAGGAAACTAGAGAATCTGTTTCAATAAAGTATGATAGCTGATATACTTGAAATAGTTTAGCTTGATGCTGATCAGGTTTTTTATTTTAGTTTTTAATCACAATCCCATATTAATTTTTATTTTATATATTTACTATTTTAATGATAATTTATTTCACGAAACAAATGATGGACTAGCACATAGACTCTAAACATCAAGTGAAAGGTGCAACAAATTGTATTTATTGTCTGTGTATTTGTTTTCATGTATTTTTTATAAAGTCTTTTACTTGGTTTTGATTTCTTTTTTTAGTATAACATTGTACTTTTATGCTTTGGGTTAACTTGAAACTATAATGTTTTTTATGCATATACCAAGATCCCAACTCATAATTTCTGCACTTTACTGGTTGTTTCAGGTTGATCAATCAAAGGAGAATCAACCCAGGAAGCTTATGTCTTATGACAGATGTTATGCAAGCATTCAGAAGTAACATGGCAGAGTTGCACTTCCCAATCAACTGAGACATATATATGATTTTCTTTAAGCAAATATGAAAATTTTGGCTAATGAGTGATCTTGGATGTTGATATGCAATGCTATAGGTTCAATCAATGCGAGAGTGGGATAATTGCATTTTACGATTTGGTACTGATGCATACAAAGATGGAAGGTCAGAAATCAGTTGTTGAAGAACACGTTCAATCTAATGTGTGAGAAAGTATGATAGAATATAGGTTCACGTGCAGATGCAGTTGGGACACATCTAACTTATTGATCAATAATTGGTATCGTTGTTTCCTATTATTATGAGTCTTCCATTTGTTGCTTAATTGTATTTAATTAAAGTATTCGTTTTTTTTTGTGCTTCTATGTTTAATCAAAGGTTGTTGCAGTCATTAGTTTAAGTTATTAGTTAATCAAATGCTTTTTAGAACATCTGATCCCAAGTATATGCTTTATCTTTTCTTTTGTATTTGAGTAGAACCAAAGATATCAATCAAAAAGTTTAATAAAAGTGTTATTATAAAGTTTAAAATAAAAGAAAAATATTCTGTTACTAAATCAATAATATATGAATATGATAATAAAAACATCAATAATAAGTTTTTTACAATAAAAGATAGGATGAATGACATAAAAGTTCGGTTTTACCATTTTGCATATTTTTGGTTCATTACAGTTGGAAGTTTGTAATTTTTTTTTTAATTTACTTTTTTGTATATTTAAGGTTAATTCAAACCTTTAAGTTTGGGACAAATGTTTAAGTTTGATTTTTTTTTTTTTTTTTTGGTTTATTCAAGCATTTAATTTTGATAGAAATATTCGGTTTATCATGGTATTCACCGACACTAACACTAAAAACCTTATTTAAAACCAGGTTCAGCTGTATACACGTCATCTAACACAAAACAAAGTAATGTTTTTTTTGGAATATTATATTTTTTCTAAAGAAAACTAATCGTAAAAAAATAAAAACTATTCTTGACACAAAACAATTCATTGAAAAAAAAAATTGTTGTCATTACCACGTTGCGCTATTATTTACCTTAACTAAACTAAATGCAACAAAATACTATTTTCAAACGAAACTAATTGTCAAAAGAATAATTTTCGTCACCCCATCATGAAATTAAAAACAAAAGCAATAAACGATTCTAGATAGGAAACTATTTCACCCTCGCATCTACTTGTATATAACTTATTGTCTCTAGAAACTAAGTTTTAGAAAGAAAAAAAAATTGCATCCGTCGATTGACGCGGGTAAACGGCTAGTGTGTGTGTATATATATATATATATATATATATATATATATATATATATATATATGAGAAAAATGAATATACCCTTAAGGATATATAAGGTTAGGTATCCAAACTCACTATATTACATTATTTTGTATGATATATATACATTGTAATTGTCCAATATTCTTATAATTCAATTTCCAACTTGATTTACCTCCAAGATATGTATCAATTTCACATTTATATTCCTTTTACATAATTTTCATTTTCAACTATAACATATATAGCCTACTAGGTGTTCGGCAAAAAGATGTGATGTAAGAGGAAGATAATAATAAAATTTCGAAAATTTTGAAAGTAAATCAAGAGAACGGTTGAAGTTTAAGAACATTATAATGAATATATTAAACAAAATGATGTATTATAATGGGTTTAGGTACCTAAACTTATATACCCTTAAGGGTATATTCACTTTTCTCTCTCTCTCTCTCTCTCTCTCTCTCTATATATATATATATATATATATATATATATATATATATATATATATATATATATATATATATATATATATATATATTACGTGTGTTTATATATACAAATAAAGTTTTAAGAAGAAATCATAAAATAAAAATTATTTGCTTTTCTATGTCATTTTCTCTGTTTCATTGAGTCAAACATTTCACAATTCTAGATAAAATCTTTGAAAGATTCAAACCGACATAGAAGAACACCTGTCATTAAACAAATCAATAGTTATTAGATGAAATAACTGTTTGTGTTTTTCTTTATATGGTTAAAACTTTGTTTGTTTTTTTTTAACTTAAATCGTATAGCGAAAGTTGAAGATAAATTGAATGGATATGTTTATTTGTTTACGTTAACCTAAAAGTTGAACGAACATAAATATATAAATGAATGGATTTTTTTGCATGTGTTGGTTAAAATAATAAACGAAGATAAACTATTAAATTTTTTGATATATTGATTATATTTACTAGTGATAATTTTGATAGTTTCTTAACAAATTTATAAGTTGTAATACTTAAATGATTCTATAAATTCTACTTTCAGTACTCCAATCATTTTTATAGTATTATATATAACGTAATATCATAACCAAACTTAATCCAATGTAACCAAACAAATATAACCAAACATTAACTGATATAAATAAATAAACAAAAAGTCTTATGTATATTCTTTTTAATTCATCTAACTAAAAAAATAAAAAGTATTTTTATGTTTTTGTATCAGCCTAATTCAAAAAATGTTGTTATAGAAATCAAATATACTCTTATCGTTTATTTTTATTTATTTTAGGATCAAAACAAATATCAAAATAAAAAAAAATATTAATAAATATTATTTATCATTATTATTTTATATGATAAGATGTATTGATATATATATATATATATATATATATATATATATATATATATATATATAATTTTTTTCATGTTAAACACTCGATAGCCGATATGTATAGTTACTAGGTGTGAGACTCATGTATTACATAGGTTTAATTAAAAAAAATATAAAATTTTAACAATTTAAAAAGTTAGAATTTATAAGAAAAATGAGAAACATTTGAATTATTAAAATTAATGAGACTTTAATGTATTGAATACATTACATATATAAATTTTCTCTAATAAATAATTTACATATATATTACCTTCCACATTAAATGTGAAATTTTAATTTAATAAAATGAAATATATAATAAAATGAAAAGTGAAAAATAAAAAAATTTAAAGAATGTAGAAAATGCTATATATCCAAATGAATAAAAATATGATATGAGGTCAAAAAAACCTCATTTATTATAGTATTTATTATAGTGTATTAGATTACTTTTAGACACAAGATGTCTCCCAATCGGATAACTCCGTTTGACATTCATGTAAGCAGATATTATCAGTAATTTATCTATCTCTTCAATAAATTAATCACACAAAATCTTAATGAACTCAAGTCAAATTTGCTTTGCATACGAATGAATTTTTTGATTTATTAAGCTTAAAAGATGTCTTCGTTGACTTTTTTGGCATCCATGTTGTGTTCACGTAACCTCCTCATATCTAAGCTTTGATAGCCGACTGGTTCTATAAATTGAGATATCATTTCCTCCGAATCGCCACACCTCATCTTTCTCCAATCCAAAATGTCTGCTTCCGCCGTCCAATTTCTCATATTCTCCGTTTTTCTCTTTCTATCTCTGTCCTTTGCCCAGACGTCATTCCGGCCTGATGCACTGGTGGTTCCGGTTAGAAAAGACTCCGCCACCAACCAATATGTCACTCGCATCAACCAGAGGACTCCGTTAGTGGCGGAAAACCTGGTGGTCGATCTCGGCGGGCGGTTTTTGTGGGTGGACTGTGATAATAACTATGTCTCCTCCACGTACCAGCCAGCTAGGTGTAGGTCGGCCCAATGCTCGTTAGCTGGAGCAAACGGATGTGGGGACTGCTTCAGTTCGCCTAGACCAGGATGCAATAATAACACATGTGGTGTGTCCCCTGACAACCCTATTACTAGGACAGCCACCGGTGGTGAGTTAGCCACAGACCTAGTTCAGGTCCTGTCAACTGACGGGTCGAATCCTGGTCGACCCGTTAATGTTTCTCGGTTTTTGTTTTCTTGTGCACCCACGTTCTTGCTACAAGGACTTGCTAATGGTGTATCTGGAATGGCCGGTCTGGGTCGGACCCGGATCGGGCTTCCGACTCAGCTAGCTGCAGCTTTCAGCTTTGACCGAAAGTTCGCCATTTGTTTGTCATCATCGACTTCCTCGGACGGTGTTATTTTCTTCGGTGACGGACCGTACAGATTCCTTCCAAATATCGATGCTTCACAATCACTTACAAACACCCGACTTTTTATCAATCCAGTGAGCACGGCTTCATCTTCTACTCAAGGCGAGCCTTCAGCTGAATACTTTATAGGAGTGACTTCGATTAGAGTCGACAATAAATCCATACCGTTGAACACTTCATTGTTGTCGATCGACAATGAAGGCAATGGTGGGACCAAGATCAGCACTGTGAATCCTTACACAGTGCTCGAGGCCTCAATCTACAATGCTCTAACTGCAGCCTACGTCAGAGAGGCTACAGCTAGAAACATCAGCAGGGTTACATCTGTAGCACCATTCGACGTGTGTTTCAGCACGACGAATGTGCTAAGCACTCGTGTGGGGCCTGCAGTCCCATCAATTGAGTTAGTCCTCGAGAATGAGAATGTTGTTTGGATGATTACGGGATCAAACTCTATGGTGCAAGTTAATAATAACGTATTATGTCTTGGAATCGTGAATGGTGGATCAAACCCGAGGACTTCGGTTGTGATAGGAGGGTTACAACTGGAAAACAATCTTCTTCAGTTCGATCTTGCTACTTCAAACCTAAGGTTCAGCTCGACTCTCTTGGGCAGGCAAACTACTTGCGCCAACTTCAACTTTACGTCTAGTGCTTAAAATGTATAATATTCATATTTACTTTGCAACGTGATTATGTTGTAAAGACATATACATATACAAATTAATAATGTTGAACGAATAAAATGAAAGAGATCAATAAAGTTATTTTATTTGTTATCTGGATATTTTTACCAGTTAAAAGTTCAGTATATGATGAAAGACAACAGCTTCCATTAAAGAATTTTAACTTTTAAGTGTTTGATGTTGGTTTGGTAAGAGATGGCGCGACTCGTTGTTTTTCTTACTTATTTTTTTATGCTAAATTTATTGTAAACTTATGTTCGAATGGTCATATTTACAAATGCCTTTTAGTTTTAATGCTGTACAATTGGTTGTGGATGACCCACGCCAAACATATCATAAGATCGTCTGTAAATTATAAAACACTATTAATATATTAATATTTTAGGCATGTTAACATTTACATTATAACTGTTTTAATTTATAGAATTACAAGAAGTTAATGACCACTTCTTGCATTTCATTCGCAATAAATACAAAATATAATAATAGGCTATCATCTACTCTATTTCTTGACTTTAGATTCATTCTTCCGTAAACAAAATTTATATCGAATTTGATGTCAAAAGAAAGAGGATAAAAATTAGGAATTTCTATATTTTAGGTTTTTTTTCTATAAAAAATAAGCTCTAAAAATTGAAACGGAAGGTCATTATATATATATATATAAAGACGGGACATGAAGAATGTGAATATGTCCGATGGAAAATTTGTCTCGCATAAAGTGAATGTCAATATCTATGTGTTTGGTGCGTTGGTAATGCACCGGATCACAAGACAAATAAACGACACTAGCATTATCATAATATACCATAGTAGCAGTGAGCGGAGAATATCACAAAGCCAATTAGTTTCAAAAATGACATTTGCAATGCCTCGATACTCTACCTCGGTACTAGACCTTGAAATGGTGTCATGTAGCTTGGAAGATCATGAGAGAAGGTTCTGACCAAGAAAAACACATTATCTAGAGGTTGATTGCCTAGTGGAAATGCATACAGCTATAAACCATGATCGAGAGTATCTCAGACATATATATGAATGCATTTGAGTCGAGAGCAAGGCTCTATGGGATCATGCATGTATAAGAAATTTTTTTTATATCTGAGTAGTATTTTTTGGTTTCTAGCTTCTTGCTAGTTGTTAATAAAATTAAATTATTCAAAAAATATATGCAAACTTGTCGAATGACATAGGTGATGTCAAGTATTGCAAGGCGCCTACAAGGCTATGATAAAGAGTCGAATTAGACACAAGTAGACCAATGGCATCGAACTTAAAAGAGATATGTCACAACTAGGAAGTTGGCCCTTGTACAAGAAAAACTCTTTGTGTAATCTTGTAACATTTCATTTAGTGAAATTCAAACATCAATGATATTAAGTTCATACTTGCGTACATTGTCATTCAAGTCGAAGCAACCACATGATGACCTAAAAAACTCGATCCAATAAGCCAAATCCAATCATTTTTGGGCCTTAGCCCAAGAATTTTCGACCCAAATCCCTTATTGGACCAAGACATGTTTATTGGGCTGATAACTACTCCTTTTGCTCTTGTTGGGCCGAAAACCCTCCCTTGGGTTCTAATGGGCTGAAAACCTAAATTAGACTTCATTTTGGGCCGAAAGTTCCTTCATTTAATCTCCTTGGGCCGAAAACCCCTTAATTGGGCCAATACCCTTCCTAGAACATTATTGGGCAAAAAAATCCTTAATTGGGCCAATACCCTTCCTAGAACATTATTGGGCCGGAAACTCCTTGGACCAAGTCAAATTCGAAGTCCATTATTTTTTGGCTAACCTTGGGCCAAATACCTCTCCTAATTGGTTATGGTCATGAGTAAAAATAAATAAATAAATAAATAAAATGAGAAGTGGTTTATAATTGTGACACCTCACAATTACACCACATATAAACATGCTAATTACATATCATGTATCCATGCATGAACACTTTGACCAACATGTAAGAACTCCACCACTTCCCTCTCCTCCTTAAATTCTTGGCCAAACACCGTAACTCCCACCACTCTTCATTTTAATTATCTCACTTATTTCCTTCCCTCTCAAGCACAAGAAAAAAATTCCTTCATCCATATCTTGCAATTTTCATGATCTTAGTGTGTGAGATCAAGAGCTTTGCATCAAGTATCATCATCCTGGTAAGTCTTTAACTAAACTTAAGTTGATTTATTCCATTTCATGATAGATCATTCCTCATAAACACTTTGGTTTCGTGATTATGCTCTTAGAACTCTCTAGGATTCGGAAACTCATCTCAAAGAAGCATCCAAGGCCGAAAACACATTCATCCTCTTTCATTTCTTCAAAAACTGATCTAACACCAAGGTGAGCTTCATACCCCCATATCTTTCGTATTTTTCATGTTTTCGGGGGGAGGATACAAGTCTACTCTCGTTTAACCATTGGATATTTGCATGTAGTTTATCACTTAGATCTTCATAAAAACCATGAGAAAAGTATGTGTTGTCTTATATATTAAATGTAAACTTGTAGATATGGGATTATACACTCAAAATAGCAAAAATAAGTGTTGTGTTCAAACATCTATTACCTAAACTCAAAAATCATCTTTTAACAGAAACGTTTTGGACTAATTACGGACTGTTTTGACCACCTTGATTACAATATTTTTCAAAACTGTTTTACATGCAAAAAACTCAGGTTTATACCTTTAAAATGACTACCCTCACGCATTCATACGATTTTTCTACAATTTTTGGCAATTTTTACAAATTTGTCTATCATTTTAGGAATGATTTCGGACTACTCTGTGAAGATGAACATTTTCACACTGGTTTGTTGCCATTAAAAATTATAATAAAAATTATGAACAAATTTGAATCATTTTCCAAACTTTCAGAGTTTACGGATCCAGATTTCGACTTACGATAATTTTTGTATAATTTTTCTAAAAACAGGGACAGAAAAGTCAAAAACAAGAAATTGTTTTTATCATGCTAAAAGCTCTTATATTTGTGTTAGATGCAAGTTTATATGACTTATACATATTCTTAAAACATCTAGACATGTTAACTTATATGTATGTGTGTGTGTGTGTATATATATATATATATATATATATATATATGAATATATGAGTTGTCTTGACAACGTAATAAACTATATCTAGTATAGTTGAAGGTTGCAAACCACACTTTTAAAGAACACATAATTCTTTAAAAGCATAATTATCTTATTTGCAAGTAAAACGGAGTCATAGTTCACGTAAATCTGTTAAGGCTCTTGTGAGATTTTCCTTCGTTGAACCTACCTAGTATACGTAGTAAGTCTTGTAATTATAACTAGAGTCTCCTAGAGGGAGAGCAAGAGTTTGTGTATAGATCTATATAGGGTTGACAGCCTTACACCTGAGCTGTTCGCTACAGCTAGACTAGGTCGGTCTAGGGTGACAAACCTTACCTTAAACAAGTCGACGCCTGAAAAACATCATGACGGGCAGATCAGTCATAACAAGCATGGTTATAGCGACTCACATAGGGAATAATAATACGATTTTGGTTTACGGGAAGCATACACTTCATCGGTTTTATTAAGCTATAGAACTGCAAATCATTTTCCAAGTATTCAATTTCTTACACTTCCGGTGTTAGAGTTTAAGACTACAATTTTTTTTCCTTACATCAGAAAATATCGGATTTTCTAGGAACATTCGCTTTACTTTTACAAACAAAAGATAACAAAGGACAGGCATGCATATATTCACAGTTTTGGAACGAGACTTACAAAACATTTTCATAGAAAATATCGGATTTTCTGGAAGAACTACAAGAACTATTCTAAACAAGTGCAAAACCATATTTATACAAAATGCTTATGAACTCACCAACTTTTTAGTTGACGCTTTTCAAAACGACTTGTATTCTCAGGGAACCAGTAACATGTAATCAACTCTGCTATGAGATCAAGTGGTGCGACTTCAAGAAATTTTACTTCTTCTTATTTTTGTGTAATCGTTAAACAAGTACAATTTGTAAAACAATGAATGTTGGTATATTGAAGTATATGATGCTTGGTTGCTATGTTTCATTCATATTCATATTGTTAGGATATTGTACAATGACCGAGGGGTCGTGATGTGTGTAAAACCAACTAGTTTTAATCCTACTAACTTAAACACAAAGACAAACACACGAAAGGCAGTGTACCTATCGATTAGCAGTTTAGTTCACGTAAGTAGGGTATCGAACACAGGGAACGGTAAACAATTAAAATAGATGCTAATATTATCTAAATAAAACAAGTAATAGAAAGGGTTTTTTTCTCTAGTTTTGCGAGACTAGAAACTTAAACAATTAACTAAAACTTAAACTAAGAAACTAAGAGCTAAGCAAATAAAAATCAACTAAATTCAATAATAAAGAGGACGTCTGTTTAAGTTCGACTCATTTGTTCCCATGGATGATTTCGATGTATCAGATTAATTCTTCATTAGCTACCGACTAAGATGATTAGTTCCACGTTCGCTATTACTAATCCTTAGGAAACAAATTAACTCAAGCAGTGGCCAGTTGTCTAAATCAACGGATTTCCTAGTTATTGATTCGGGTTAAATAAGACTTGTAATAGTTAATCAAATTGGTGATTCAATTAACCTCTTGCTGATGGTGTATCACACAAGCTCACACATTAACTTACCTATCTTCAAGTTAATTCTAGTTTCATATTCGTTATTCCTAGACATACAACTATGTGGTCACGTAAATCATATGAAATTAGCAACTAAGAGATGTTCATACAACTTAATTACTAATTTATTAACAGAAGAATAGTTATTGTTAACACATAAGGTTCTTTAACAAGCTTAATAAAACATAATCACCAATTAAAATTAATCCTAATCAAATAATCAATCCATGTTCACAAATTCATCTACCTAAACAAAAGTTATGAGTTTTTAGCTCATGATTACAGCAGAAACAAGCACAAAAAC